AAACGTGATATTCGTCATCAGGAGCTCAAGTTGTACTAGTCCTGTTACTCTCGAACAATCCGGATAAAGTCGATGTAAATGTGGTACGTTTCCGAAAGAATCACCCCCATGGCCATTTTTTTAATAACTCGGAAACGCAAAGAGCTAAAGAGGTGGATTTTTCAGATATGAAAAGAGCACACTGTGGAGCATCTTTTCACAAGCGAAGAGATTTTCGAAAAGCTTTCCCAAAGTCGCACTTTGTAGGAATCTCTGAAAAACTCATGTATAACGGGAAATTTTTAGTAGTACTAGAACTACCAGTTTTTTTAACACTAGTAGATAGAAAAAAGTGTCCTCTTCAAAATGGGGTCTAAGCAGTTGCGTGAAAATCTTTAGTTTAGCCAAGAGGACAATTTTTTCCAGATTGGTCACCTTCCACTTTTGCAACTTTAAAAAGCGCGTCCTAAAATAGCTTATGGTCCAGACCCAATATTTGACATACGTGCTGACAAAGATACTAACCAATGTCTTCTTACTTCATCAGCTGGTCGAAACGGAAAAAGAATATCCTATGATGATTTGGGTGATAACAAAGCTTCTTTATTGAAAAGATAGATTTAGTTGAAAAATGCCGAAGGACCACGAGTTTTCCGTGGAAGTTAAAGCTATAATATTTAAAGTGATTCGTTACGTCGAAAGTGAAAAATCTGGTGCGGTAATCCCATTATTTAATGTCAACGAACGTTTGGTTGCCATGCTTGGTATCTCAGCTCAGTCAGTGAAAAACTTAAAACATGAAATGATAACACAGCCAACACTGGATGAGTTGATAGATGAGTCGACTGAATCGATTTGAACCAGATTACGTCACTCTTCATCTGCTACAACCACCCAGATGTCCTTGCCATATCCAGCTTCGCCCAAGAAAATACGGCATAGTGGCCGCCCTACAATTCGTTTGTCGGAATATAGTCAGGATATGATCAGATATCATTTCCACTTGATGTTGGCAGAAAAGGTGTATCCCACTATTGACAAATTATTATTTCGGCTTCGATCCGACTATGAAGAGTTTCCTATTCACAGCAATGCAACTTTGTCAAAGATTATGAAAGAACTTGGTTTTAAGCATTCGAGAACATCGAAAGTTACCATATCATTTGACTCAACGTTTTGTGGAACAGTTTAGACTGGAGCTGTGTCAACATGAACTTTTCATGTATGTAAAGTTCAAAATTCTAGAATTCTATATTCTAACGAAAATTCTAGACTGGAGCTAGATGAAATTGTTTTACTTTTTAAAAGTAAACCAGCGTTACTTTTTAGAATGTAAAACATTCATTCTTAGTTACTAAGGCGCCGCTAATTCACAGCTTTAGCAGATTCGGTTTTCTAATAAAACACACATATTCTGACTCACCTTTTCACGCCGATCACGAACATCACTTTATTTTTTCGATCAGCCGGAGTCTTCATGGAGAAACACGCAAAATACTGAGAAGCACTTAAAAATCGAAAACAGTTCGCCCTACAAAAAAATGGTCGTATCTCCGTTCTGTTTCATTTTTCGCGCTCGCCGATGTGATATTCGGATTTCTTGTATGAAAATGGTTATAGCCATGTGGTCTAGGTTCGATTCGCATATTATGTGTTTATTATAGAATTTTTTCCGTACGTAACACTCAATCTGCACAACCTAATTTTGTAAACTTATCTAGCTTTTTCCGTTGAGACCTAGCCCTTTCATTCGTATGCCATTCAAACCAAAAATCACTTGACCGATTTTGAGGTGTTTCTATAACAGGCTCTGCTTCTCAGCCTAGGAAAAGAAAATCGATACGTCAGTTTGTAGCTCGTGGAACGGCGGTTCGAATGGCATATGAATGAAAGAGCTAGGTCTCAACAGAAAAAGCTAGATGTTTACGAAAGTTAGCTAGAAAGCAAGCTGAAACTAATAATCATGAACTAGCATAACAAAAATTATACTTTTGCGACTGAATGGCTTGTTTTAACGTTGTAGATAATTTTACATCAGAATCTGAAAACGAATTGAAACAGATAAAGGAATTGATCTTATCAAATGCAACAGATTGCATCAAAAGTGCATAAGAATCAAAAAATGTAATAAATATAGATTACGTATCCTTTTAAGCATTCTATATTAAAACCCAATTACAATGATGTTTAAGGGTACACTCCTCCGCCGCCCTTTTTTTTGTAGAAAAATTGTCATTTTGAGCTGAACATAGTCTAATGTAGAGAAAAGTACAGGGTGATGCATAACCTTTTGCTAGGGGGGTACAGCTCCAACGACAGATGATATAAAAATGAATTACATACCAAATAAAAGCTCATCGAAAACGGGATTAACGGGTATAACTGGTAATCCATAGGTTGATTATGAGCTATAGAATTATGGAAGTTTCTATCTGGAGCGTCACAACGAAGGACATTTTCTATTTTTCTCGTGTTCTTTTTTGATCCTAAGATTACTGTTTCTTTCAAAAGATGCGCCACGAAATACTCTAGAAAACCATACTCAAACTTTAGTTT